AAACATAGATATATGACTGTGTGCTTTGGTTTCCGACTCTCAAAACTCTCTTACAAGAACAGGCGTCTTTAGTAGCCTCTGTTGATATGACACAATTTGATGCCCCCAAGTGATGGAGAGGTTCTCGTATGAAAGTGAGAGGATGGAACTAACAACCTGATCGGTGAACCACCGGCAGTTAACCTAAGGGATTCGATATATGATGGCTAGCAAAATGTACTGAAATACCTTCCAGTGCTTCCAGTGCCGAGATACACGAGCGTCGAGCAAATGGTGAACAAGATCTCTCATCCGGGATTTTCGGGTCCAGAGGAGGCGCCCACATTTCCGATGGAGCCTTCTTGCAATACCAAACAGGGAGTCTCCTCCGGCGTAAACTGGAGGGACGCGCCGACGGCTGCTTTCGACAGGCGCAGCCGCGCGTGCATAGTGTCTGCCAATGTACGTAGTGTTTTGAACACACGAGACGAGTTGGAGGCGGTTGTTACGGAACACTTCTTGGTGGTCATCGCCCTCACCGAAACCCGGCTCACCCCCAACGTTCTTGACTCTGAGGTCTCTCTCCCGGGGTATGCGTCATTCCGTTCGGACCGTGCACAACCAAGGATGGGTGGGGGCGTCATGCTGTTTGGCCACGAAAGTGTACCGGTTACTCACCTCTACAGCTACGCGGATCCTGAGGGTAAGGGAGAAGCGCTGTGGTACAAAGCCAAAGTGTGCTGCAACGGCTACANCAGTGGCCATCCGGGACGATATGCGTCGATGGGCTGGCGACGGCCACTGTTTGATTTTTGGTGATTTCAATGTACCCCTAATCGATTGGGACGAAAATCGCTGCCTACCGGGAGCGGACCAATTCTCCAGAGACCTCCTCGAAGTCGTGAACCAGTTGACTCTGTCTTGCTGACTGACTGGCTTACTTACCTAACTGTCTTACAAGCGGAAAAGTCCCGTGATATTTGGAGACTGGCCAAGATAACTCCCGTCCCTAAAAGTAACTTGGAAATATTGTCGCGTCGCCTGCACGTCAGTCATGCTCAAATTATGTGAGAGGTGCTTATTACCGTAGGTTACCACTAAGTCTGACGAAGACGACGTGTATCAATTTGCACAACGCTCGTCGCGGCCAACACTTGATGCCGCCGCATATCTTGTTCATTCAATAATCTCGGCATTTAACAAGAAAATTACGACCGTTAGAATGATGTTCTTAGACTACAAAAACCCTTTCGACAGTTTTGATCGATCAGTATCGCTCAACCTGATTACTGAAAGTGGTGTAAATTCAAAGGTTAGCAGACTGATCTGTGATTATTTCACAGATAAAAGGCAGTGGGTACGCCGTAATGGCCAGCACCTTGTCTTGTAGGATTCGGAGATACGATGCCCAAGAAAGATTACACTAGAGTCTCTGAAGAAGCACTTTGACACGCTTACGGTGATGCCGTTTTGGCGGAGATGCGAGAAGAGAACACGTAAATGCTGCTCGTGCTCCTCCGGAGTAGCAAGGCAGTGCGATGTCTTAACGGCAAAACGTTCTCCGCTCGCCCAGATTCTTCTGGTGTTCTGCAAGGTGCAATATTTTCCCCATTTTTCTTTTCTATGCATGTCAAAAGTTTCTTATTCCTCCTGCATTCATTGGCTGTAAATACGTTGATGACGTTGTTTTAGGTTGCTAAGCATCCACCCCTGAAGAAGCTTTAGAAATTTAAAGCAAGCTGAATGACGTTAGCACTTGGCTCTTAGCCCGTTTCCTCTCAGTGAGTGCCTGTAAATGTCAAGATGTTGTTTTCCTTCTTATTCGATGTACCATATTCAGCCCTTACAGATAGGTTCCCCACCCTCTCTGAAAATCAACAACCCCTACCGAAATCAAAAATAGTAAAATACCTTGGCGTTACTCTATCACACAATTAATCATGAACACTGCACGTTTAAAACACATTCTGTAAAGTTAGAAAACTTTCATATTTCTCACTCCGATTAAGATTACTTTCTGTTATCCGCAAGCTGATTGTTAGATTCGTGAGTGCATGCGTGCTACCCCACTGGTTGCATTGCTCTTCAGTAATTTTTCCCGGTATTTTGAACAAATACTTATTTACTGGTGAGAACTCTAAAACACGTCGCTAAATGTAGTGGCATTCTCAGGGATAAACTCGCCGATTCTATAATTGACAGACACCTACAAGCATATGAAAGTTCCACCGCCAACATACTCTCAGACACTCACCACCCATTACATAATGAATTTCCAAAAGCTGTATCTACATCATCCACAGGCTCAAGATTTAGACATTTATTTGCACGTACCTCTGCCTATCGTAATTCTGTTCTGCCATAACTAGCAAGTCTACTTACAGACAAAGACAGAATTTCCACAGAATTGCGCAAGCGCTTGCTTCATTGACAAACACTTCATTGATTTCAGTTTCATTATGTAATGATTTTGTAAATTTGAATCCACAAATATGGTGTTATTGCTGAAAATACACCCATCCGGGGGCATAAAGCTACTACATACATGATTTGACTTTACTTCAAACAGCCGATCAGTCAAGCGCCGTTACCACTCAACTGGCCGTTATTTCGGCTGTCCTAGATAGAGTTGAACAGGCCAACTCACAACCATATCAACGATCCCACTGGTTTCAAACCCGGTCACGTGGTAGCCCTAGGCGCTTGCCCTCGGCCTCACCCCGCAGACCCTTATGTTGGCACCACCGCAAATGGGGTGCCCAAGCACGCCGGTGTATTGCCCCGTGTCAGTGGTCGGGGTTCAGGCCTTCGAGGCCTTCGATCATGTGTCAAAAATGCCGTATCGCAAGGTAAATGTCGAGTAATTCCGACAAAAAGCGCTGCAGCGCGATTCAGATGGTTGTAACCGCTTAGAAAAGAAAGCTAAAGGGTTCCAATCGTCGTTGGTCTGCTGTTTTAGTACCGCTACATCAGACGCATCGGTATTGAGCGCCAGTGGGGCACCGTGGAACCATCTAAGCTGTTTCAGTGACGTAGGCTATGGGTACGCCGTAATGGTCAGCACCTTGTCTTGTAGGATTCGGAGATACGATGGCCAAGAAAGATTACACTAGAGTCTCCGAAGGAGCACTTTGACACGCTTATGGTTATGCCATTTTGGCGGAGATGCGAGAAGAGAACACGTAAATGCTGCTCGTGCTCATCCGGAGTAGCAATGGATACTAGAGTATGGTCTAGGTGAGCAAAGGTTTTATCTATATCGTGATAAACCTGATCAATGATGCGTTGAAACGTTTGAGCTGCGTTTAAAAGGCTGAAAGGCATACGCAGGAACTCAAACAGACCAAACAGTGTGGTCACCGCGGTCTTGAGAACATCCTCAGGATGGATCAGGATTTGGTGGTACACGAGAACTAATTCCATTTTACTAAATATCCTACACCCCCCTAAACTAGCTGTTAGATCTTGGATGTGGGAGCTGGAGTAGCGATCTGGGGTGGTGAGGTTGTTTAAAGCGCGGTAGTCGCCACACGGCCGCCAGTCGTCAGGGAACTTCTTGGGGACCATGTTTAATGATGAAGCCCAAGGTTTGAAGGATGGTCGGATAATCCTGAGGTCCAGCGTGTGCTGAAATTCAGCGCGGGCTATTTGAAGCTTGTCCGAGGCGAGGCGTCTAGGGCGGCAGTGTGTCAGTAGGCCACGCGTGACTATATGATGGACGATGTCCGTGATCACCTGAGGTAGAGTGTCCGGCGGTTTGCACAACTCCGGGAACTCAGAGATTCGCTTGTAACCTGTCTGTGGCGTCGGGTGTGTACAAAAGCGGGCTG